ATTTCTTCATTTAGCAGATGCTTTTATTCAAAGCAAGTTTTAGTTTTAGTTTTATATATAACATGTAGTATTATTATATTCCCATATGTGATGAATTAATGTTTTGAGGTATTCAAAAGTGTTCAACAGATTTTTTGCAATTTTGTTTGTTGAAAATGAAAATTATTATTATTAATAATAATAATAATAAATTATTTTAATTATATAATAATTAAGATATTAAAAAATTGTCTATAATAATAGCACAACATTAGTCAATGTTAATTTAAATTATTTGCATAATAATCTGTGCTTAATTTACTCTTGTTCAGAGTAACTGCTGTGCAAGATGTTTACAGGGTTGTCACTGTCTCTGTGTTCCCGAAAGACATTTTTGTCTGAGAACTTCTTGTCCATTGAATAATTAATGAAGCAATATTTTGAGTGTAGCATGGAGGTGCAGTAATTTCACTGAAAGCTCTTCTCTTTTTTGGTGTTCCATTAACGTTGTTACTGCATATTATTTGAGGAAACATTAAGAAACATGGTCTCCTTCACAAAGATGTTCAGAGAATTGTTGGAGTTGAATTCTTAGTGAATTGATATAACTTAGATATCATGGACCATTACAGACATTAATCTTGTATAAACATTCATTCCTACCTCTTTTCTGCTCACAGCTCTTGGGTGTTTTCATTTGGTTTGGAGTGATTCCCCCTCACACGACTGTCGACTTTGATGAGCTACGTCCCCCCAACCCTGAGTATGCTCGTGGGATCCTGAAATGTGATATGTCAGATCTGTCTCTGATTGGCTGTCTGAGCTACAGTATGGTGCTGATGGTCACATGTACAGTCTATGCCATTAAGAGCAGAGGGGTTCCTGAGACCTTCAATGAGGCCAAACCCATCGGCTTCACCATGTACACCACCTGTATCATCTGGCTGGCCTTTGTGCCCATATTTTTTGGCACATCACAATCCACAGAAAAGGTACATTGTTAATATAATATAGATTAAGATGGATTTTGGACAGAGATGATCACATTTTAATAGGCAATAACTCTATACAGAAAAACAAAATAGTTAATAATAGATGTACTTTTTGTTTTTCCATTACTACATATTTTATTATGTAAAAAAACACATTAAAATTAGACTTTAAGGACACATTTAAAACAAAAGAGATGTCATATTGATTTTCTTACCAACTATTTTGAATTTAATTTAATATTATTTAATTAATATTATTTATTCATATTAATTTCACTTTTGTTTGACTATTTATGTTTGGGTCTTTTGGCATATCTGTTCAGATGTAGTCATTCATATAAAATCCTGAGTCTTGTTACTGTGATATTAGTGTAGAAGATTCACTAGTGCCTGATATTAACATCATACAGAATATGATCTTTACCCTGAGAGTGTCTAGACATGCATTTCACTAGATTAGATGGTTCTGTTTCAGTTAATGATGCTGCAACATTTTCTTGTGAATGCTTCAGCCATAGTCAGATAATAGAAACCTAAAAAACTGTATCTAATATCAGGTTAACACAATTGCTATTTAATTGTGGTGCTGTTTTGTGTTGGCCTAAAAGCTGTTCAGGTGCTAGCCACACTTCATGCATTTAGTCATTCAATTTTTCACGTCTATTCATCCTGTGGGGGATGGTTTTGCTTACAAAGCACAGGGATTTAAAAATGGAAAGTATACTCTGATTAATAGAGAGGTCTTTTAGAGGCCGGTCAACCGCAAAGCTTTTGGCCCTCAGGTGGTCTTCAAGTCTTCACAAGAAATGAAGAAATGAAAAGATGAGCATGGAAGAATAAAATACCAGACTATACAGCGGGCTGCAGTATATATTTGTGTGCTGCTATCTTACATTTTATCATGTTTAGTTGTTTTTTAAAGTATATTTTGCTTATCTTTATATTTCTAATAGGGGGGAAACAGTTTTACCATCACAGCTTCTTGTGTGACATTTTTAACAGCATTTTAGACTTAAAGCAGTAATTATTTGGTTGCATGCTGCATAATCTCATGAAATATAAGAGGTCTCAATTACAGTATATATATTATAAATGAACTAAATGAAATAAATGACTCAAATTGCAATAAACACATGATATAAGGGGTCAGTTTTTTGGCTCGCATTACACATGCATAAACTGATTGAATTATTTCACATGGCTGATTTCAGCCCTTTGTCTTTTAATAGTCATTATACTAATTTCCAGGAAATGCATTGTGACAATCAACAGAGTTTATATATATGTGTAATGTGCAGTGATATCTCAGTGCTAAAGCCCTGACGGCTGATCTACATCATGTGATAGGTCATGGCTGAGGCCAGGCTAAAATATTACTCTTAATCTTTTTTCTGCCCTGAACCAGATGTTCATTCAGACCACCACGCTGACCGTGTCCATGAGTTTGAGCGCCACGGTGTCCCTGGGCATGTTGTACATCCCCAAAGTCTATGTCATCATCTTCCACCCAGAGCAGAATGTTCAGAAGCGCAAGCGCAGCTTCAAAGCCGTGGTCCAGGCAGCCACCGTTTCCACTCATCTCTCACAGGCGACAAGCGACAAGCAGAACGGAGAGACCAAAGCTGAACCAGATAGATCCCAATAAAGACCAAGAGGAAAAAAAAAA